AAATGGAATAGGAATATTTATGTGGTTTTATACTGAGAAGTGATTTTAAAACACTTAGAATACTTTTCATAGGGCACATGTTCCATTCATGGCTGCTAAACTGTGCCATATCTTGAGACTGTTCCCCTTTAAAAAAATAAAAACCTCTGTAGTAGAGAGGTAGTAGTAACAGATAGCATTTGTTATGCCTAGACCTAAGATCAGATGACTGCTACTATGAGGCCTTCATGTGTATTATGAGTAGACCTCCTTATGATTCTTTCTTCCTTAAATTAAATAAGCAAATACAGGACATTCTTCCTTTCTACTCTATGTTAGAGATATAAATTACGCAAATACATATTTCATGTATAATGAATAACATGAAACTTGAAAGTCAAATCTATATTGAGAACACTTAAACTGTAATAGAAACTGTTTTTTCAAAGTTGAGTCCTGTTCAATTCCAAACATCAAAATTAAACGTTTTATATATCTACATTATATATATATATATATATATATATATATATATATATATATTGATGCTGACATATAATCCACTCTCAATTCTTTAACTGTTTTGTTTTATATTATTCTCTCCCCCCGTCGCCATCTTTCTCTCTCTCTCTCTCGTGTCTTAATGCTTTTAGTTTCATTTTCATTCATATAGAAGTCCATAAATCTAGAAATAATATATATATTTTATATGGAAGCATGATTAGGATACTAGACATTACATAGCATGATTTAGAATAGTAAACATTGGATATACAAAGGATATCCAATCTTTTCTAAGAGGATTTGCCTATTCAGCCATCCTGTTTCATAGATTCCTCTGGTAGTGAGTTCTAGTATCAGCTGATCTACCCCAAAACATTTTTGCCTCCAAACTCAGCATGTTGCTCCTTAAGCCTGTTATATTTATTCTTCTGCTTCTGTTAAGAAATGACAGTAATTATACTCCATCCTTATTCTTCCTCCTAGCTATATTTTGTTCCTAATGTGACTGTACATGGTAGACTTATCCTTGCTCTTCTTACTTCTTTAAAAAGACTTTATGAAATAAAATTATGTTGGAAACTTTTTATTTTGAAGAATCCACTACCCATCTAAAAGGCATAATTGCAAGTCCATCATCATAGAATTGCATTGATTTTATTTGTTTTATTATTTTTTACATTCTAAGTGTTTGACTAATGTATTTTTCTTGTTCTCTAAAACAGTTGGATAAAATGCTTGAAAGTGTATCAGCGCCAATGCCATTTTCTAAAAGCCAGAAAGCTTTATAGTTTCTTATAAAGAATGTGACCCGAGGTAGGACTTTGCTTTGCATATTTACAAGCATATTAAATCCCAAAGCTCTGTGTGATTTGAATACCATTTGTAGTCATTTGTCTTTTTCTACTTTTCCCTAGAGAGAAAGTTCATTTGCCTTTCAAGTTACTTCTCTGTGTTCCAGATGAAAGAGGATAAAAGAATGTAAAATTAATGTAATAAATTTAATGATTTATGTGTACTGTTTTTTGAAAAAAATTGGAAAACTAGATTTCCTTAATTCCATGTCTCTATAAGAAAAGTAACCCTAGATACTCAGGATGCTGAGATCTGAGGATCATGGTTCAATGCCAGCCCAGACAAGAAAGTCTATGAAACTCATCCCCAATTAACCTCCAAAAAATGCCTGAAGTAGAGCTGAGGTTCAACTAGTTAGAGCACTACCCTTGAGCAAAAATGCTCAGGGACATGACCCAGGCTTTGAGTTCAAACCACAAGATCAAAGCCCCAAAAAAGAAAGTAAAACCACTTGCATGGTATTCTCAGTGCACCCAACAGTGGTACTCATTCAGTGTTCGATGCTGACTGAAAGGGGGAAAAAAAAGTATTTGATTTTCCCCAGCAGGATGTTGTGATTAAGCCCTTGTTGGACCTCTTAACAATAATAAAAACAAAACAACAACGAAATAACAACAACATATAGCTTGGCCAGAGGAATCCTCCAGAGAAACAAACATGACTTCAATACCATGGGGAAAAGATTATTTTTGTAACGGAAGTAAAATTATACGACTGTGTCCGATGATGCAATACCAGAAGGAAGTGGGGAAGAACCTTTGAAGAACAGTTGGAGGAGAAGGATTCAGTCTGGAGACAAGAGCAGAGACAAGAGGCTCTCCCTGAAGATTTTTCCCAATGAAGAAAGAGAAGGCAGGAAATCAGAAAGCATGGTGCCAGGTCTTACTCAGAAGGGAACTATTTTTCAGTCTGTTCAGATGCTCAAGAACATACTCCAGCTGACTTCTCACAGAGACCAAAGATAGAATGAATTTAATGGACGCCTTCCTAACATTCCTTCCATTAAAAATCTCCATTACTTTGCCCTTCTGAATCTCTACTGTGTAATGAAAACTAATAATTAAGTTTGTGAAAACTGTCTTTTGTACCATTAAGTGAAGTCAAAATTGTATTTGATATAGTTTTACTGTTAATGTACATTTTTTAAAGAAGCCACCTCAAGGAACATGACTTATTAATAGCTAAAGTATACTCTAATAAAGGCACCAGCTCGTTCATCTCCAAATGGAGAGCAGGGAACATGGGAGCTATAAGGATTTTGTCCTCAGGAATTCACAGGAAAACAGAGGTAAAGATTTGAACAACTACAAAATAAGTTCCATAATGAATTTTACCATATCATTTCTATAATTCCTACATTTTTATTTTCAGAGAATCTGAACATTCAGCATAACAAGAATTTGTCATACCAAAGAAGCAGAGTAAATAGTGAATAAGTAGTAAGATAGTACCAGAAAAAGAATGATATACTCTTTGAGGAAAGAAATGGAAACTTCTTCATGAAAAAAGATAAGCAAAAAAATTTCAGGAAAACAGAATCGTAATAGTCAAGAAAAAATTATGTAAATCCATTTACCTACTTATTAAATTTAACTCAATCCAGTAGAGAATTTAGAGCGAGCTATGTGGCCAAAACAGAATCCATCGTGAATGCATACCAAGGATACCAAACTTTGGATTTCACATGCCATGTCCCAATTATACTCATTCTATACACACGTCTGAATCAAACCATCTCAAAAAACATAATACACATCAAACTCTGCTTTGACATCTGCTAAATTAAATGTTCTGGAATATTCATTCATTCATCCATTCATGACATATGCTACATGTCAGGCATGTAGCATGTTTTACTAGAGAATTAAATGATTTACGAAGTCAAACACAGACCTAGAATGTAAAAACTCCATAAAAGAGAGAATTAGTGAGTATGAGCTAGCTAGAGGACAAGGCAGGATGAAATGGTATTCAGGATGAGAATCTGAGTACAGCCTTTCTTCAAGGTCAGGAGAGGACATATAGGAATATGAGCTGAAGGACAGGAATTCCCTGTGCAGTAAGAACAAGTACAAAGTCTCTATGAGAAGATAGATAAGGACACAAATAGGAGGAGGAATGTGCCATGAGACACAATCCAGGGAAGACAGTGGTACTAAATAGGACTAGAAGGGAAGGAGTTCTCAGGTCACTCGGCCACAAGAGGAATCTTTGCACACGTAAAAGAAAATGGCATTAGGCAGATACGTTCAGAGATGAACATGGAGGGCCTTTTGCCTATACGTTTGAGAAAGACCAAATGCATATTCCATGGTTATTTACCTGTCAATTGATGGACAGAGATGTAAAATTGCTGTGGTTACGCTATTGGTACTAGATGGAGGATAAGTAGTCATTTCTTGTGTCTCTAAGTAAAAGGAACTCATTTAGAGAAGGTCTCAATAAGCTGTAAAAGCATCAAATAATCTCAGACACAATACTCAACTCTATAGTTACACAAAAACTAGTCACAGCCACTACATAAGTGAAGGTGATATTTTCAACTCAGTCCATCTTATTCCATACTGTTGTTTAACTCATTTTGTACTCAAGTAAGAAAAGGAAATGGCATCTATTAGATCCCTTAAAATTTGCTTCTTTTTCAGTATGGAGGTTCCTCAAAAGACTCCACATAGAGCTCCCCTATGACCCAGTAATCCCACTTTGGGTCATTTGGATCATTTGGATCACAAACAAGGCTATACTAAGGCTACCAGCACAACTATGTTTATCGCAGCATTATTTACCATAGCTAAGATATGGAACCACCTCAGATGCCCCCTCAGTAGATGAATGGATCAAGAAAATGTGGTATACACACACACACACACACACACACACACACACACACACACACACACAATGGGATTCTATGCCTCCATCAGAAAGCATGGCATCACCCCATTTGTTAGGAAATGGAAAGACTTGGAAAAAATTATATTAAGTGAAGTAAGCCAGGCCCAAATAAACATAGGTCCCATGTTTCCCTTATTTCAATAACTAGTACATGTGTAGGACAAGCAGAAAAGGTCAAAAGCTATGAACATATGACTATATAAGATGATGCTAAACAAATTGTTTAAATAGGGATACAGGTTAACCCATTGCAACAATGAGATGTACAAGACGCTATATCAAAAAGTAAACTTCACAATTTAGGCAGGGGGCGAGGTGTAGTTGTAGAGATGGGAGGGAAGGGATGGTAGGGGAAAAACAAAGGAGGAGGCAACAATGCTCAATAGGAAATGTACTCATTTCCTTGCTCATGTAACTGTAACCCCTTTGTGCAGCATTCTTACAATTAAAAAACATACAAAAAATTTGCTTCTTGTACTCCTAGTTACTCAAGAGACTGAGAGCTTAGGATCATGATTTGAAGCCAGCCCATTTAGGAAATTCCATGAGACTTATCTCCAAAAACTCAGAAGTGGAACCGTGGCTCAAGTGGTAGAGTTCAAGCCTTGAGCAAAAAAGCTCAGGGACAGCATCTAGGCCCTGAGTTCAAGCCCCAGGACCAGCATCCAAAAAAAAAAAAATGCTCCTTTCAGATTTGAAAAAAATCTGAGAAAAGTCAAAGGTTCATGGTTTTCCATTCCCCAAAAAGAAAATGAAGAGCAAGTGCTCACCTGAACATACAGCTCTCTGAGTTCATACTGAAATTTCTTGGGATCTGTGGTAATTGTCACTGGTCCAATCTCTGTGAAGATAAAAAGTGGCATCCATCAATACATAGCACTAAAGGGTATGAAACATTTTAGTTCATAAATTTCACACCATGTACCACATTAGTACTGATTAGTAACAGAAAAATACCAAAGATTCTTTCTCTAAAGAATAGCTTATAACTTATGGTAAATTATGCAGACTTAAAAGAATGAAATTCTCACATCTGCAAATGACAGAGGAAGTAAAAAATGTCACAAATGTCGTAAGACAAAGAACCACAAAACCCCAATTCCAATTCTTTCTTGCTTGCAGTCAATATACATTTATTAAGCAAGTACCTTGTTACTAGAATATGAAGGACTCATATTTCATTAACTCATTCTGTTTCCTCCATGAGAAAATATAAATTCATCTGCAACTTCTCTATAAAGCTAGATTATCTCAAAACACACTGTTTAATGCTAAACCCAAGAGTGATCATTCACTGCCCATCCAATAGGGCTTAAGAACTTGGAAGAACACAGATACAAGAACATTCACATGAAAGAACTAGTTCCCATCCCTTCTTTCCCAAAGGCCAGAATACAACCCTCCTCGCTTCTCTGAGGCACAGCACAAGCTACTGCTTCAAATAAGAACACAGTGCAGCTACTGACACGTCCAGAGTTTATGATTTTACTCAGAAGAAGAGAAGCCTAGAAATTATTTTGGGTAAAGTTATGTGAGCGCATGCGTAAGCACACACACACACACACACACACACACACACACACACACACACACACACACACACACACACACACATTTTTGGTAGGATATAGTATATCTATAGTAAAATTTTCAATTCATAAAGCTTATTTTCCTTTTTGAAAATCAACTTTTAAAATAGATAAATTGGCAGGCCAGGCATTGTGATACACACTTGTGATTCCTGTTACTCAAGCGGCAAGGGAAAGAATTTTTGCAGCTAGCCCCAGCAAAAGTTAGTAGGAGATCCTAACTCAAAGACAAATTGAAAGCCAAAAAGACAAAGTGTGGATCAAGTGGTAGAGTATTCAAAAACATAACACTCTAAGCCTCATTACTGCAAATAATAATACAACAACGATAAACAGATAATAGATACTTAAACCCAGAAAGCATCCATATATGTGAGTACTGGTACTAAACTTCATCTGGTTATCATCTGTACACACATACCATTTAAATTCCTCTGGTGAATGAAAAGTTATTTATTTTGGGTTCTTGAGGTAAACTAGACAGCATTTAAATCTATAATGTGTAAGTGCCACATAAAATTATACTTAGCATTTAGTTTTTATTTTATTTTTTTTTTTAGCATTTAGTTTTTACAAAGGAGGTTTAAAAGATTTTTTCTAGCTTCAAAGAATAAGAACTAACTACCCAGGCCTGCTATGACCTGCTACAAATGAGGCAAAAGCAGCCTTTAAGGCTTCCATAATTAATGAGGTAAACTAAACAGGAGGCATCATTTGTCCCTCACCACTAATGGGTTTTTTATGTTACATGAGGGGAAAGAAAACTCAGTCCTTCACTATGGATTAGACCCTCTGCAGTTTGCAGCGGGATGGAGAGATGATTGGACAAATCCAGCGAGAGTGCTCATATGAGCACTCCACACAAAGCGCAACAGTCATGACTATGTCCCAAGTATATGGAAAACGGGAGGGTCCTGGTCCCTCAAGACTAAACAAAGGCTCATTGTGCAAAGGAATTCAAATCCAGTGACAAGTACACCAGACAGTGAATGCCCTGACCTAGAAATTGTCAGCAGTATTGTCAAGACAAACTTTGATGTTCCTACATGGTTTAATACTGAAAAAAAAAAAAAATCCTAGAATTGGAAAATTCAACTAAGAACAGTAAGGAAAAACATAAGGATTCAGAGTGCAGAAGTACAAGAATCTAACAATAAAAACAAATCTCCAGGTGCATTCCTTTCTTCAAAAGTGAATTTCAAGGCTTGTTTTTAAAATAAGAAACTTGATTAGACTTCTGTCATCTAAAATATATACCTGTTTTCAACAAAGATAAGAAGTTTCTCCTAAAGCTCGTTAATAAACGTTTTGAAACCACACTGGACAGCTGAGATAAATCTTTTTATCAGTTATGAGCAATTCTCAGAAGCTCCAGCTTGCCAAGTAGCCCTATCCCTCCAGCTGTAAGCTACCTCTCCAATTTAGAAAACCTGAATGATAAAACTATTTATTTCCATTACAGTCTTTCTCTTCCTTCACAGAGCCTGGAGCCAGTTTTTCTCCTCTTTTCCTTTCCCTCATGATAGTTTATTCCCTGCCAAAGTCATTGATGACATTTAGCAGGTACACCTTTGTCCACTCATGGACATGGGCCTCCATCTCTTATAATGTGGTAGATGCGAGGGAGATCTCAAATAGGGTAATTTCTTACAAAGACAAAAATCCAAGATCAGCAAAATAAAACATCACAAAGCAGGTATTTGAAAGGGACAGGGTGGGGTCAAGAGAAAAGGGGAAAACAAATGAAGAAGAGAAAAGGGAGAAAATTCAGACAGGAATCCAATATATACCTTACAAAATTAAAAAGAAGGAAGGACGGAATGATAAGGGACAGGGAAGAACATTGAAAGGGGTGATACTGATCAAGATATACTCCATTCATAAACTGCTTTGCTAAATGGCAAGTCCTTTGTACAACGGAAAAAATCATCATCATCATCATCATCATAATCATCATCATCATTAAATGAGAATGCTCAGGCAATTCAAGCTCTGTCATCTAGATATCAAACTTCAGGCTTAGTTAACACCTCTTAGGATCAAATTATTGCATTATATCATCTTCGTGGCCTTTCTCCTTTGTCTTCATCGGTTTCTGTACTTCTCAGTGTAAAGCACTGCATTACATCTTATCTCCTTGCATGCTTTGCTCTTATCTTGCATTTTGTGCTATGTATGTGCTAGCACAGGAGCTTTAACTCAGGGCCTCCTACTATTGCTCAGCCTTTTTGTTCAAAGCTGGCACTCTACCATTTGAACCACATCTCTGCTTCTAGCTATCTGGTGGTTAATTAGAGGTAAGAGTATTACAGACATTTCTGCCTGGGCTGACCCAGCCTCCTAAGTAGCTAGGATCAGAGGTGAGAATCACCAGTGTTCAGCTTCTAACTTGCTTGAATATTGTCTGGATAGTATTGTCTACCTGGCAAGCAGGTTAACTAGCTCATGCTAGGTAACAGAATGCACACAGCGTCTCCACCGAGTTTGTTATAGTTTTTATACATGTATTAAAAACAAAGCCACACCCCAAATACAAACTAAGACAACCATCACTCTCCACACAGACTAAAACAGCTAGAAGGTAAATTGAAGGTCATGCAGCTTAGTCCTCTTATCCTACCAACAAGACCAAAAGCTCCAGAGAAAAGAATGTTGAAAAGCTTCGGTGGTGAAAAAAGAGATAAACTCATCTAACTTTTTCTACACAGAGCAACCTAGACAGCTCACAATATTTTCCCCCCCTCAGATCTGCATTCTCTGGATAATTATATCACTACTAATTTCCTCCTCCTTTAGCCCTGAGGCAAGCAGGAAAAAGGTCATGGTCAGAGCCCCTCATCTGATGTACACAGCACAAGTCCTTATTACCACATGCCTGGCTATGTTCTTGAGTTACACCAAAGCAAATGATCCCTCTTGCCTAGTAAATGCTCTAATTGAACACAAAGAAACCTTGTAGAACAAACTTCTCTCCAGAGAATTCCATCTCAAATCAAATCTATTTTTAAACATGTGTGGAACTCCTACACATGATTGCCCTTGATCACATGACAATGGTAAACATGCACTCGCCCGCAACATCTTAACAATCTTGGGAAGGAGAGAAGAAAACATACGTGTAAATGCAAGTGTGGCCTGGGCTACAGAGCAAGACCTTGTCTCAAGGCCTTGTCCCACCACACAAAGGAAAAACAAAACATTTGTTAAGTAAGAGTTGGAAAAATGAAGTGAAAGTTTGGGATTGCATGGGGAGGGAAGGATTGTAGGGGGAAAACAAAGGAAGAGGTAACAATACTCAATAGGAAATGTACTCATTACCTTATTCATGTAAGTGTAACCCCTCTGTACAGTATCTTTACAATAAAACATATATACTAAAAAAAAGTTGTGGATTGCAAATTAGAGAACATAAATGCCTTATTCATATCAGTTTATTCTTCAATTCTGTACAACATATCCATAATGTTATTCCGTATGCAGTCAAATCAATGATCATCTATACATATCCATGATTGCACATCCATTTCTAATTCACAATTGTCTTTAACATATGCTGGTCCCCTTGGAGCTTCATAACTCCCTCACTGAAGCAGGTAGAAAGATCGGTGATCCAAACAATAGAAGCCTAGGCTAAAAGAGAGACAACCAGCCTTTTATATTAAGTAGTCATATTACCCTCCATTAGTTGCACGAAGGGGTTCATTTTGACACCTCCATTATACAGTGTACCTCGATGAGACCCATGACTCCCTCACTCTCCTTTCTCCCCATTTTCCAAACAAATCTCTTCCCAAATAAATCTCTTCACTTCTCCATTTTCACCTATGTACATAAAGTGTTTCAGCCATATACACTCTCCTTCGCTCTTTCCTGTCCACACTGCCTTACAGGTCCACAGTACCAGGTACCTGCAACATGACCCACTGTTGTCCTGCTTGTATGACTCTCCCCCTGTCTGTTGGCACCTGGTAGATGAAAGGGCTTGGAGGAGGAGGCAACAATGCTGGATAAGAAATGTACTCATTACCTTGCTCATGTCATTGTAACCCCTCTGTGCAGTATTTTCACAATTAAAAACTTATTTAAATAAAAAGAATTTCAGCAATATTTGAAGAGGGGGGAAAAAAAGAAAAGTTAAGCCAGGCATTTGGGGTTAACCTTTACTTCTTGCACTTTACCCTCCCCACATCAAGGACCCCCCCATTCTGCAGCTGAAGACCATGCTATAGAACAATAATACATATTAGTCACG